ATTCCCGGTCTGTGCTGGTCAGCCTGTTGCTACAGTGTGGGCAGCCGGTTGGAGAAGACTAGTGACTTGTGAAATCAATGACAGAAACTGATAGTGAGATAGTGGTTTCTGCAGCATGGCTTACGTTTGATTGTTGGCATGATCTCCGAACTAACCATATTTAATGTGTTTTTTTGCGCATGGGGCCGTTCTAGCGCCTCCGATGATGGCGCTGTGTGGCGAGGTGGCGTGTCGATTCGTGTTCAAATTCGATAACCCTCTACTGTCCCTTGCGTGTTCGGTCGGGTGAGATGGCACTGCGTGCATTGTGCTGTTACGACTCGTGTTCGGAATTGTCAACCTCTTGATGAATTGCCGTACAATGGCCCATGTTGTCCAGATGTCAACCTTCCTGGTGAGGCACGTTCTTGTTTGATCGGTGTTCAATTTCGGCGCAGTGGCTTGCTGTTGGCCTCGAGCCTCGAAATGACAACATTGTAGCCTCGAATGTCTAAATCTCGCCAGTTTACAGCGTCGCAGCACACTGCTCTCTTTCATAGCAGTACTCTTGCCCCATCCAGGCTTTGGGAGTGACATGGCCATGGGAGAGTTGTTGTGCATGTTGGCATGTGAGCCTTCAGGAGCCCTGACGAGCAGCGCCGACTTGAGGACTTTCCTCGAAGAGATCACGTAGGTAAACGGAAGAGATCACGCGGGTAAACGGGTCCAGTAACGGGTCCCGGCTATAGCGTGAACATTTCTGGCGAACCTCGCTGACAAAGATGATATCAGCAAATGTGTGCATGCTTTCTCTTTCGAATGCGTTGTCGGCCCTTGCCCTGCTTGATCCGGCAGAGCACGTCAACCCTGTCGTCGTGAGGAGCTTTCAGCTGCTCTTCCAGCCCTCCAGGCCTCCGCGACAGTTTAGCTGGCGAAGAAAGGCAAGGATGCGGCAAGCCACACGACATGGCCAACCACAAGACAACAATGAGGGAGATGATCGGTGGGCTTGAGTCGGGATCCGGCGGAGTCTGCCCCCAACTGCCCAACTGTCGTGGTGGAAAGTAAGCACTGAAGTCCCCTCCTGTCCTGGCTGCTTATTGTATCGAGGCAGCGCTGACAGACCTGCGCGAAGCCAAGGTGCCACTCCAGCGGAGGGTGGCCGAGGCGGCAAGACATGGTGCGGGAATATGCTGGATGTTTGAAGCTCAACATCGGGTTTTGCCTGCCAAGCTTCGTCTGCCTTTGCGCAGCAACGCAAGCTCTGCGAGCATGGACGCAGGCCAAGCAGGCCGGCACGCGCTACGACCGCGATCGGGCCTCGGTCTGTGAATAGTTTTTGTTGCCGGGCTTGCGAGTCGAGGCACCAACGAAGAAAAAAGGCAGCGGCAGCAACTACAATGACAACACTCACATCAGCCACTAGCCAGCACGATTGTCACTATTGCAGCAGCCACAACAACACCAACCACAAGCGACACCGGGACACCAGCATCAACAAAGCCGGAAACAACGGCAACTGCAACTTACAAAAGACTATGACGGTTGCACAGCTGCGGCTCCCTTGCTTTATTTGCTTTCACAAAAGGATCAGTACACCAACTCTTACTAAATCCTGGCGGACTGCCCAGTACCACACGATAACAATCACTGCTTCAAGAGTACGAAGCAGAATAATGCAGCACTAGCCACACCAAGACATAAACCTACAGCTGAAGCTGCAACCACAACAGCAGCCATCACGTGATGGCAACAAGTACATCAATGCCACTACTAGCAGATAAAACAGCAAAGACCAAAAGGTAATTCATTGTCAGAGTCATGAGTCATGGTAGTGGTAAGTCAGCAAGAAGAAACTGACCCGATAAGAATGCAACCGATAACATGCGAGCAAAACATGATCGCGACCCAGGGCCGCAGCAAGGCTTGACATCATACTTGTCCAATGACCTTGGTAGCACGACAAATAGCCTTACTCCTCTTGATGGCATGGTAGTCACCAACATAGAACAGTATTAGAAGTAACCAGTATGATTAGTTGCCCAACTCGAAGCCGCAAAAACCAGTTTCAATGCAAGCAGCGATGACGATGCACATGTCAAACATCTTCGTCTCAAAGGCGAGCATGCATATCACGAGCAGGAACACGAGCGTTTAACGTATCAATGGCATGGGGTATTCATCTCAAGCTGTCACGTCATTTTTTGTCGGCGCTCTTCGTTCGTCATTGAAGCGCCGCACGCCACATCCTCCGGTTCGGCTTTGCTAGAGTTTGTGCTTCGTCGCCGGAGTGCCAGGGTGCCACTACTCTTTTGACTTTTGTGCGGCAAAATCAATAGCTTGTCCCCTTCATGCTGTGCTTTTGTGTTGCTGCTCGTGTCGTCAGATGCCCTTCCCTCCCAACCCCGTGTGCTCGAAGCCGCCTCTTCATCCTCTTCCACGCCTCGCAGAAGACGCTTATGCCCGTGCCATCCCGTGCCTGCCGGCCCCGCCCGCTCGCTGCTTCGGTCACTCACTGAGCAAGATACCCAGGCCGCGAGGGAATTTGATCCTGATCGTGTTCAGCTCTTAGATCATGTGCAACTATCCCAAGAGCCAGGCATGTGCCCTGGAAACTCGCCTAGCCCTGCTGGAGAACGTCCAGGCAACGCCTGGGTTTTTGATGGTCTCGTGAGTCGCGCTTACGACCAACTGAAGACATGCAGTCTTTCACATTAGTGAGCCTTGCAGAGATTTGCAGAGAAGCTTTCGCTCGAGTCGCGCGTGGAGCGTTTTGAATAGTGAATAGTAGTAGTTAAGAATTACTCAAATCATGGAAAGGCAGCAGTTGCATGCTGCCGTTCGAAGACGCATTTGGCCTCAAGCCCGAGAAGTGGGGTGCATAGACGGGTCGGCACCCCCGAAAACCGCTGTACAAGCAAACTGACGGCCCCGTGTACTGTGTCGTTTTTGTCTCCAGAGGCCCGCTTATAGTTTTTATCGTACAGCTGAGGACAGCGTGCCGTGAAGATTTTTGATTCATGCCGTGTTGGAGCCTTGGTTTGTTGCTGCGGCAGCTCAGGTTTGCATCGTTTCCGTGGAGCTCGTGTCGTCATATTACGGTCGTGCTGGGCTCTAGTAGCAGAATTCAGACTCGCGTCCGGCATCCCATCCCTCGGAATGAAGCCCTGCGTCAGCAGGTGAGAGAGGTCGAGTGGACCATCTCCGACTACTCGGCTCTCCTGGAGCCACTGAGCTTCCGAAATTGAATGCATATCGGCTCGCCTGGTTTGTTGTTGGATATGACGCTATGCAGAAAGTTTTGTCGTTGCCTAAGGGGCCTACGGGTTGAGGACATGATTTCAATGCTTCATGGGAAGACTGAGGAATTGCCCCAAGGGCCAGTGCATCACATCTCCCACTTTTGCGGCGGGAGGCGTTCCGAACATGCAGTCGGCATCTGAGCTCTTCTTTGCTTTTGGTAGACTCCTGATAGACACTACAGGCCGAAGAGGGCCACAGTGGCACTTAGCCCTTCACGGTCGGTGCTCGTGAATTTGCTGCTGCTCGGGAGTGAACAGCCGAATGTGCCATTGATGGAAGTCATCGAAGGTGCTAAAGCGGCCCAAGTGCAATCCACTCGGTTCAGTTTCGATTCACTCAGACACGTTTTGCTCCAACGTGCTCTGTAAGCCCTTTTGCAGATCAACTCATAAGAAAATTGCCCCTCATTAATGCTGCGAGCTCGGACGCCTGCAATGGCCACGACTTCCCGCGCCGTGGATGGATAGGTCGACGGAGAACCTCTCATCTCTATCCAGGGAGCTGCTGAGGACCTTGCATGGAGGAACACAAGCCCCACCGAAGAAACGGCCGCTTTGACAAGATGTGGTGCGGCTTGCTGTCCAGAGCTTCTGTATGCCAGGACACACCTGGATGGCTTGGACTCTTTCTTGACCAGTGCACGACAGATCCAGGCACAGCAGCGCACAGCGCAGGAGAATCCAGATAACTTGAGTCGTCGCTCAGGGAATGTTGCTGAAAGGTGCAGTTGCTGGGGTTTCAAAAGGGCATTGTGGAGGGTCCATCCGGGCTTGGCTTGAGCATGGAAAGGTCTAAGGTTGTGCACCCGGCGACGATTATTCAGCCGCGTCGTATCTTTACGAGACACGCGCAGAGCATGAGTCTAAGCCATACACACGACGTTGATTGTCTTGACTGCAGATCTTGCCACGTCTGTTACACAACGATTGCAAACAACCTTAGAATTTGCGCTGCATACCGGCATACCGTCAATTACCGTCAAGTCTCGTCATACTCACATGGCCTGTCGTCAAAGGCAAGATGCACGGCCACGCAGGGAAATTTGAGATTCTCATCAATGTTGCCAGTTGCCGTCGCTGCCGTCTCTGCCGCTGGAGGAGGCGCCACAGGTTTTCATTCGCAGCTTGCAGTGCTTCAAGTGAGGGGCCAGTCTTCGACCATCTGTATTCCCCGTTCAGCCTTCGCGTTTCAGGTGAGCGTGGAAGTGGCAGATCCTCAGGATACTGTGGCATCCACGACAGCTGAGCTTCAAAAGGCTACTTCGAAGATGATTGCTGTCTAGGCAAGTCTAGGCCAGGAAGCAGGCGGTCACTGGTCGGGGTGGGACAGGCAGTTTATCGGGTACTGATTCTCGCTAATCACACTTCAAACCTAGGCAGGGACGTGTCATTCGACACGTTCAAGATGCAGAAACCCTCCACCACGCGTGCGAACACACCGAGCTTGATCCAAGGCGCAGCTCCAAGAAGTTCGCTCCCTGTTGGCCGACCTGTGCAGAGCTCAGGTTTGGGTGTTCGCTTCAGGCTTTTGACTCAGATTCAGTTGCGGCTCGGGTTCCCCAAAAGCAAGGTGCTAAGGCATTGCTCCAGAGCTGCGTGCCCTTGACGTAAATACCGGCCTCAGGCCCTGTCCTCCACCATCGTTGGCTCGAGTCAAATTTTGGAATATCGGGAACAGCGTGCCTTCAATCAATCCACCTTGCCACCAGCCAACTGCAGGCAAGAGGCTGCGGTGACAGAGAGGCGCGGGGGCTGAAGGGAGACTACGGTACTGAGTTTGAGAGCCTGCAATGTAGGCTTCTGAATTTAATGCATGTGCCTGCTGAACTTGATGGGTTTCAAGGAGACCCATCACTTGGAGGGTGAGGGGGCTTAGTAAGTAGGTACTAAGTAGACTTCTAAGTATCATAACCCCAATTAGGATCCCCCTTTGGATACTTGTAACTCTACTTCTTACCTACTTACTAAGCCCCCTGACCCTCCAAGCAAGGATTCGGGCTTACAGGGTTCTGAGGAACGTTGCATTTCAGGTGCGTCTGGTTTCAGGCTTCCTGCTGCCAGAGCCTGCACCTAAGATCTCGAAATCTACCCCAGTCGGCTGTTTGAGGCAGCACTTCCGCCAGCGCCCGCTGGAACTTGGCTTAGGAGAGGCCGGGCGCCGGTCAGGAGTAACTGCGACAACACCTTGATGGAGGGTCCTGAAGCTGATGCCACAAGTAAAACAAAGTCACAATCTAAAGAACACATGTGGCAACCTGCAGTGGGTCTTCAAAAAGGACATGTCTGGATCTTTACATGTGCAAAATATGAATGCAGAGGACGAGCTTCTGCTGTTCCTGGGCCGTGAGCGGACCAAGGCATCTCTGCCCATGGTGACATGGTGTCGGTCGTTTCAACGAGCCCAAATCATCCCTTGCAGCTGTTCAGTGCTACGACAAAGTAGTCAATTATGGCCTTCGGGCTGGCAACATGTGCATCTGCAGGATCGCAGTCTGAGGGTTACCAGTTCAAGCAGCAGCTCAACAGCGCAACTCGGGTTGCGGCGTTCGACTCATTCACCCTCAGTCGCCTAGCTACCCGAACTGAATGTTGGTGTCCGGCTGACGCCCCGTCTGCTGTCCCGCATCGTGAGCCCTGCGCAGTGTCACAGGAGGCCCGGCGTACTGGGGACTTGCACGGCGGCTCCACTTCCGCCAGCGCACAGCGTTCCGAGGCACGACAACAAGAAATCTTGGGCTTGTGAAGCTGGTGCTGCGCGTTAGCAGCCGATAACTTTACGGCCAGGCGTGTTTACAGAGTAAGCCCGTTCCTCGTGTATGTTTTCGATGTCCGGATGCCATTGCCAGGCCACTGCGACCGCCTTACTCGCGGCACGACATGCTGCGGTGCAGCGGCGCCTGGCTCTCGAGCAGCTGAGGAGACGCAGGGTGTGAAGGGAAAGGGCTCCACGGCTACAGTAAATCCTCTTGGGTCCAATTCACTGTCGCGGTCAGTCTGTGAGTCTCTTGGCCGCCCTGGAAGGAGTGAGCAGCTGCAGCTCATATGAAAAACGTGATGCCGAATGAGGTATTGAGGACAGGCTCTGTGCGTCTCTGCATGTCTCTGTGTGTGTGTGTGCGCGCAGACAAAAAATAGTCTGCTGTTGGCTAGTTATCCAGATTGCCGGCTGGCATCGAGAGTGTGGATTGTTAGTTCCTGTCTGTGCTGGGATTGGTCTTTGATGAGTTACAGTCATAGCCATCCGTGGACACAGACTATGAGCAGTCTGCTTGGTGCAAGACACTCAGCACCTCAGCACCCTTGTCGGCATCTCAACCGAGGCACTCTGCCGAGGAATTCGGCCAGCTGAGGGACCACCTGGAAGCTTTGAAGCGCGATGCGGCGCCCTGTCCTGTCGAGTTCTGGGCGTTGTCCGGAATGGGGAGGAAGGCTTCTGGTTCCTCCAGGCGCTGGCCATGGCAGAGCCTGCAGAGCTCTAAGGTCAAGGCCGCCCAGCTTGCTCCGCACACAGCCACAGATCTGGCATTGTGCCTGGGCATCGGAACCTTTATACCTGGCCTCCGCGCATATGACTACCTGATCATCGTCGACAACCTATAGGGGGCAGTTCAGGTGTCTGATAACTTCTTGGGGAATCATCTGCGAGTCTGTAGGTACCCCCGATCGCATCGCTTCCCGCGCTCGGGAAGCTCAGGTCCTTTGCTGCTGCTTTGGTCCGACGCAAGGAGCTGCTGAAGAAACTCGGAGAGGTGGCCTTGTGCTTTTGGCAAGGGCCGGATCAGCAACGAAGCTGCGGGAGATGACAAGAATAACAGTACTGCAGAGAAGACATGTTGCACTGTTGGGCACTGTTGCAGACTTCGCCTCTATAGCCCATGAGTATTTGCCGTAACGGGAACCGGCTGACCGTAACAGAGCCGTGTGACATCGTAACACAAACCAGCTGGTTCCTGTAACAGGGTGGGGACAGCCCCTGGTCACAGGAACTACGCTTATCTTCTTTCGCGCATGGCAGGGATCTACGCCCACAAACGAGGTTGCTTTAGGAAGGAAAAGTGTGTTAGGGTTTACGGTGCAGGGTTGCATACTTTTCGGCTCAGGGTCTGCATAGGCGTTAGCCTACTGTACGCCTTTGTTTAAAGGGAGGTAGAAGGCATTTTGGGACGTTCTCCTTTGCCCGCCCCCCTGGGGGACAGGTTTTCGGTCTCCTACTTTGCAAGCATAACAGCCTCCTCCCCGGTTTCTGGTTGCAGTTCCTGGTACGCTGGTCGTCTGGTGGTTGCTGTTGCTGCGGCCGCCTGTTTCTGTTAAAAGCGTGCGAGATCGGTTTCCGTCAAAGCCCATCGCCGGTTTCTGTGATTTCCCGCAAGGCGACCTGGGCTCGCCAGGAGCTGCTGCCCGAGCCTCAGAAGACGAAAGTGCGAGACGTGAGCGGATCCCACAGCGGAGACCTGAGCCAAGCATCGCGCCGCGATCGCCGCGCGCCCGTCTGAGCCCCTGCAGGCGAGCTGCCCACCGCCGCGAGCAGCTCCTGAGTCTCGGCATCGTCTGAGACTTCTCAGCTTCTCACGTCTGCGCTCTCTGCACCTGCGCTGTCAGCCGCTGCCTTGACTATCGAGCCATGCAGACAGCCGGGGCTCTAACTCCAGAAGTTGTGCGATAGAATTAAGCTGAGGATCCCTTCTGCAACAGATCAACAGCATCAAAACATGGTAGCCCTTCGCCCAAAACCCTCCATCCAAAGTGGCGAAGGAGCTGTGCCCTTGCGGAGCCTCTGAGAGCGGAACTGACGGACTCGGGCCAAGTGACCGCTGGGTGCTCGGAGTCCTTTGTCCCGTCTCGCTTCGTGAAGATGTCCGTCTTTCCGAGGCCACGGCTGCGCCTGCAGCCGTCTTGGTCATTGCCGAAACCGTGGACGCGCCTCCTGGCAGCAACGACGTGCAATCAGTGATGGGCCACATGCCGAGCGTGTTCCAGCTCTCCCCCGACGGATCATGTCGAGGTTTGGCTATTCCTCTAGCCAGTCCTTGGCTGGCCGCGTGCGGAATCTGGCTGACCGGAACGTTGAGCTCTGGAAGGAGTGTACGTAGATAATTCGACAAGGATGCTGTGCCTGTCTTCACAGCCAGAAGCAGATTTGCACTCCTGAAAGAGCTCATGAGCAGAGGCAGCACAGGCTTCCGGTCCGCAGAGCCCTTCTTGAGCTGCCAGGAGTTGTCAGCGGCTTGGTCTGGAAGCACCGAGGGTGACGTCAAGCAGGCCCAACTGCTGGAAGGTCGCACGCTAAATTCCACAAGCCGTAATTTCCTATGTTGGGTGGCTTTCTTGAATCTTCACTGCTAAATACAAGGCAGCATTGAGTCGAGCATTAGGACAGGATGACGCTATGGTGCAGTAGAAGCTCCAATCCAGGCCACCAGCACCAGAGTCACCAGAGTTAGTGCTAATGTTCACCTCGTTTCAGTAACCCCTGCCCCTCGGCTGATTTCAAGCCCCGGCCGGGATGGTTGACTAGTGAGGATGCTCGCTGACTCTCTCTGCGACTCTGGGAGG